TGAGAAGAACTTAAAAGAGTAGAGAAAGATTTCTTCCTTGCCCACAGCTTCCACTGTTCAGAGAAAACAGCTGAGTCTAGTTTTCTGGAGCAACTTTCAATGGTCTGGGATGGGCTTAAAGATGCCTCAGAGACTGTACGTTATTCCACCTATTCAAGAAATTTCTTTTAAAAATATTTTCATTGATTTCAGAGAGAAAGAGAGAGGGGGAGAGAGAGAGAGAGAGAGAGAGAGAGAGAGAGAGAGAGAGAGAGAGAGAGCTAGAAACATCAATGATGAGAGAGAGAATCATTGATCGACTGCCTCCTGCACACCCCACACTGGGAATCAAGCCTACCTCACACATGTGCTCTGACTGGGAATTGAACTGTGACCTCCTGATTCATAGGTTGATGCTCAACCACTGAGCCATGCCCCCTGGGCTTCAAGAAATTTCTGATTTTTTCCCGTTTTGCAGGTACACGTCATTCCTGGTGGCATGAGAGTTTGACTCCATTCTCTTGCATCAGGGAACGTGGTACCCAACTGAGACCAGGTCTTCTCCCAGCAACGAGAAGAGGAGAAAAACAAGCCATGTGTTGTGTCTGTTGGCATGGTCTTGGGGCAGACAGAGCAAGCACACAGCTGCTGGCATAAGCCGAGTTTGCCAGAGGTCTGCTCTTCAGCAGAGCAGCCTGAGCTTTCAGCTGGGGAAACTGAACCTTGTCATGATGCCATATTGGTGTGTCTTCCCCATCGCTTGCCCAGCAGGTAGTGTCACCAGTGTGTTATCACTGCCTGCATGTGGGCATAGGGACCCTGCTGTCAGCATCTCAGCTGATACCCTGGCAAACCCTGGAATGTGCCATGCAGCCACACAGGACATCTTAGGGCATCTCTGTCCAACCATATACATCACATGAAGAAAAAAGTGTTGGGTGAGAATTCAAGCTGTGACCAAACTGCAGGTCTGATGTAGGGCCAGGGGCCCCTGACCCAATGGGCCACTGCTCCAGGTCAGTCACTTGTTACAGAAAGCTTGAGGTAGTGCGGGCAGCTCAAGACAACTAGTGGCCACTACCGGGACACACCTCACTAGGACCAGAGGGCTGGGTGTCAAAATGTTGCCGGGCACATCCTAAGCAAGGTGGGGTGCAAGGGGCTCCAGGGAGATGCTGTTCAGGGGCATCATGGGGGTACCTTAACCAAGTGTGCTTGATGCCTGCTCCTTTGGATCTTTATGACCTAAGAGGGCATTCTCACTGGAAAATACTCGCTTGTCTAATTTTGCTAAAGATTTATTAAAGAAGCAACAAACTTTATGCCTCTTCTTGCCCTTTGGGTGTATGGAGTTATGCAAACATACCACTCTGTGAGCAGGGAGCTTGCACACACACATACACACACACTGCCTGCTCTCCAGGGTTCTCATCCAGATGTGTTGGGCCAAGGACCAGATTTAGAATGGGAATTGCTCACAGTTTTAGGATTTTCAAATGGTCCGTGGGAAGCATTAGGTGTGTCATCTGCAAAGGGGAGAAGATGCTCAAGCAGCACTTGTAGAAAAGTCAGCTTAAATGACACGGAAACTCTTACACTTTAGCGCCATACACTGCAGGTGGCAATGGGAATTGCTCCGCCCATGTGAACATTATCTAGTCACGTGGAGAAAAAATTTAAATCCCTCACAGTTTTGTTCCAGAAATTCTGCCTGTAGAAATCTTTGCCACAGAAATAAAAGTAACAGATTGCAAAGTCATACATATAAAGATGTTTATTGTTTGCAGTGGTGAAAACTGGAAACAACCTGAAGGTCCACCAACAAGGAAATGACTAAATTAACCAGGGTCTACCTGTCCTGTGGAATATTACTCAGCAATGTAAAAGGATGAGTTAGTTAGCTCTTGATCTGGAGAGAGGTTCTTGAAGCAGGGTGAAGTCACAGAGGCAGATTGCAGAGAAAGAAATGTGATCTGCATGATTATAATACTTTTAAAAGACTTAATCAGACAAAAACTCTCTCACATATCTGAGCAAAAAGGAAGTGCAGGCGTCATCTCAGGCAGAAAGGAGGGAGGTTAGGGAAAGTAGAGGGGAAGTCAAGAACAAACAAATCTTAGGAAAAATGAAAAAAATAATAAAGTTGAGGGAAAATTTAGAATATAAATGCTGACAAATATGTACATTTGTATATGCAAATGGATAAGGGCTAGGAATTTATAGGAAAAAAGAAAAACACTGACCTAATCAGATGCTAGGATTGTGAGCAATGCTTTGCTTGAATTTCTGTTGTAATTTTAATGTCACAATAAATCTTCTTTAAAAAGTCAACACTAAGAAGGAACAAGAAAGCAATGGTTGGTGAAATTATTCACATTTAAAAGGACTCTCAAGAATAATTCAGAAGCTTCTCACAGTGTCTTGTATATAGTAGGCACTCGGCAGTCCTTTGCTAAAATGAAGAACCAGACTCACATAGCCTTGGCTTGACCTCATAATTCATAAACACGAGCAAGAATGTTCAAGCACATACGGTTATGACTAAAAGCTCCATAAATAAAGTTTGCATCTGAATCACCATGTACAAATTCATTTCACGCCCCACTTAAATCTGAGTTCTGGAACTATTAAAGAAATGAGAAATGACAGCAATTTTAGATAATGTGCTACATAAAGATTAACTGTTTTCATATCAGAAATGAAGTCATTTTGCTTATGTGGCTGTGTGTGCACTTGTAATTAAACTCAGGAGAGCCTGGACCTGAAATTTCAACATCAGTTTATTAGCAATTGTTCTTTCTGTCTGGATTGTTGCTGTTATTATTTAGAAAATAAAAATGTTGAGGTCAATACTTCACTCTGTGAAAGGATTCAGGAGGACATGGGAAGCGGGTGGTGAGAGAGGTGCTGGCAGAATGAGAACCAAAACATCTTGGGAGGCCTCTGCTGTCTCAGTGCAGGGTGGGCATCTCCCAGGGGCAGGCTGCTCCCCTGGAATGCCCCGCCCCCAAGTCCTCCAGCCCATTTCTATGTTAAAAGCTTCCGAATGTATCTTTGAGAAGAACATAGATAACAGTGGGGGCTCAGAACAAAAGGTGCCCTTATCAACATTCATGTCCTAAAAGACTGCATGTAAACTGTTTGATAATGCGCTTTTTTTTTTCTCTCTTACAGACTCTCTTTATAGGAGAATAGATAAATATTCAGCAGTTGTTATCTCCAAATATGACTCAACAACTCCTGTGGGTCTCTGAGAGTTCCCCAGAGGGCCTCTTAGGACATTCGATTCATTATTTTTATTTAAGCTGTATTCAAATTTTAAAATATATACTTTAAGCTAAAATTAGCAAATAATATTTTACAATATATATATATATATTTTAACTAATAAACAGTTAAGAAGTGGTGGATCTATTCTTGCTCATGGCATGGGCTAATTACTTTTTAATTTTAATTTTATTTTTTATTTTTTAAAATATATTTTATTGATTTTTCACAGAGAGGAAGCGAGAGAGGGATAGAGAGTTAGAAACATCGATGAGAGAGAGACATTGATCAGCTGCCTCTTGCACACCCCCCACTGGGGATGTGCCCACAACCAAGGTACATGCCCCTGACCGGAATCGAACCCGGGACCTTTTAGTCCGCAGGCAGACGCTCTATCCATTGAGCCAAACCGGTTTCGGCTTAATTTTATTTTTCAATGACAGTTTACAGTCAACATTATTTTGTATGGATTGCAGGTGTAAAAAATAGTGGTTAGACAATCATATCCTTGACAAAGTGGTCCCCCTGATTTTTCAAATGCCCACCTGGCACTGTGAAAGTTATTGCAATATTATTGACGATATCCTTTATGCTTTACAGCATGGATGAATTCTTTATTAGGGCTCCCTAAAGTTTCTTTTTAATCTTTTTGGCTTGGAGGAAGTCTTTTTTCATAGCGATAAGTGGTTCACAAAAACGATGGCCTGTCCCCAAAGCGGTGGTAAAAAATACTGCTAGAGATTGAGTGGAGTCCCTGGGTGAAGGAAGGCTACTTAAAATGTCCCTAAAACCATGCACAGTATTAGAAAGCTGTGTCATGTTACTTAAAAAAGCTGTTTTATGTTACTTAAAAAAACATTTTCTTAAACACATGGACTGTTTCAGAGATGGGAACAGCAAACATAGATCCTTCTTGTGGGGAAAAAAAATCTTCATGTGACAGACAGATCCTGTGTGGCTCATGTCTGCTCTGGGAATCAGCCTGGCAATGTTTCCTTACAAGATAATCTCTGGGCTTTTTGTCTAGTTTTATTTCTATTTTAGTTTAATCTAAATCTTTGTTACATTGTAGTATAAATAGAAGAATTAAATGAGACCTCCATGTAAGAAAGGTATGAAACTACATGACCATCAGCTCAGGTCTCCTCATATTTCTAACACTGGCGTCTCCAGTTTCATCAGAGACACATTTGGATGCGGCCTTGAGGGCCATCGGGGATCACAGGACAGCCCTGGGAATGCCCAGCGCCCAGCGCCCAGCGCCCAGAGCGGGCAGTCTGGGTTAGACAAGCCAGGGTTGAAGTCTGGTTCTGCCACTTTCTGGCTTCTTCATCTCTCAAAGCCTCCGTTTCCTCCGTGCTTCTGGGAATAACACTACCTCTGAGAATTGTTGGGAAGCATTGCGAAGCGCTTGGCACAGTCCCTGATGCGGTCCCCCCCCCCCCCCCCCAGTTCACCAAACACTTATTGTGTGAGACGGTGTGCCAGGCACTGTGCCAGGAGCTGAGGATGCAGCGATGAACGCGCCCTCGGACAGCCTGCGGGGGGGACTGAGATGCGAACAATCCAATTGGGCAGACGCCCAGGTGGACCCTGGGGAGAGCTACGGAAGCGCTGAGGAATCACTGCTCTTTGGTACCTTTGGAACATGGGGTGGGTGGAGACCGGGGAGCTGGGGAGAGGGATGCAGAGAATTGGGGTGACTCTGTGGTTTGCTCGCCCGCCCGCTTAGCTCATCTCCCCCCACCCCAGACTTATTTCACAATGAACCAGACGGAAACCAGCAGGCAGAGCATGGCGGGCCGGTCCACAGTGACCCACAGACCCGCTCCGTTTTCCAGCCAGAAATCGCAGCGCTTGACGGAGCAGAGCTCCCGGACCAGCCGCCACAGGATGCGCCGGTGCAGCCGGTTGTCCGGCCTCTCCTGCCACAGCTCCTCCTGGTTGGCGGCCTGGGTGGCGTTGATGCAGCCGCTGACGATCTTCTCCCGGGTCACGTTGGCCTCGGAGCAGCCGTTGTAGTGGATCTCGTCCGGGAACTGCCAGTAGTTGGCCTCGTAGTACCTGTTGGCCTCGGCTCCGAAGTCGATGTCCAGCTTGCGGCCGTGCTTGACGAAGGCGCCCGGGCGCGGCTGCACCTGCACCCGCTGGGCCTGGGTGACCTGGGCGCTGCTGCTGGGCGGCGCCTTGCGGTTCCACTTGATCCGGTGCTTGATGCCGCGCGCCTGCACCGCGGCGAGCTGGCTGCAGAGCAGGACGCACACGATGGCCAGGCAGCATCCCCCCAGGGGCCTCCCCATCGTGTCAGAACCTGCAAAGGCAAAGGAGGAGGCGGTCACTCCTCCAGCGCGGCTCCCCGCTCCCCGCCCCTCCCGCGCGGAGACTTTAAACAGAGGAGTGACACCCTTGCCTCATGCACGTCTGTCCTGAAGCATAATTGTTTTCCCACGCTTGGGCAGCGCAGGGTTAGGCCCGTCCCACTTTTTTTTTTTTTTTTTTTTTTTTTTTTTTGCTTTGGTCTGGGACTAGATCCACTCCGGGCGGTGACCCTGGCTTTCTCAGGCAGATAAGAAGCGGCAACTGGCAATTACACAACCTTTGAATGAGCATGGGAAAGTGAGTGAGTACTGACTGACTGAATACATATAGGTGTTCTCTGGTGCTCCCAAGCTTTTCAAATCAAGGGGTCCCTGGAAGGCAGACAGTGGAAGAGCTGGAATCAGAGGCTTCTGGGAATAGACTTCATTCATTCATTCATTCATTCATTCGAGATAGAAACATCAGTGATGAGAGAGAATCATTGATTGGCTGCTTCCTGCACGCCCCCTACTGGGGATCAAGCCTGCAACCCAGGCATATGCCCTTGGCCAGAATCGAACCTGGAACCCTTCAGTCCACAGGCTGATGCTCTATCCACTGAGCAAAGCTGGCTAGGGCTGGGCATAGACTGTATTTAAAAACAAAAACAAAACAAAAAAACTTTGTTAACCAATGTTCATACATAAAATGAATCTATACACTGCCAATCAGAGCAGCTTACATAATGAATAGTCTGTGTTTTTATTACTATTGTTGCCGTTGTTTTATGGCTGACACTATTATATGGGCTGTGTTTTTTTATCTTCCTTCGTTATTCTGTATTGCTCTTAGCTGGCACTGGCTTGGGCACTTTCTGCCATCTATTCTAAGAAAGTCACTGGCTGCTCATCTCAAAAGCCTTTAAGGTAGAAAGAGAGAGGGAGGGGGAGAGAAAAAAAAGAGAGAAAGAGAGAGAGAGAGAGAGAGAGAGAGGAGAGGGAGGGAGAGCTGGGATGTGTGGGGTCCCTGTCTCTCTCTATGTCCAGGAGTAATTCTTTCATGTTTCATCTCTAGGGACAGTGTGACCCCATCTGCCTCTCCCAGTTGGTTTCTTTCACACTTACCCTGTGTCAGCCTCTGACGTTGCCTACCTTACTTTTCACATGGGGAAGGTATCATATTATTCTCGAGTTATAAAAGTTTTACCGGGAACTAGAGAAATTAGGTAATTTGCCAAGGCCGCACAGGTTTGAACGCAGCTCCTTCTGACACCGCTCCCACCATGCTCACTGCCCTTCTGAATTGCCTGAGGGGCTGGTGCTCAGATTTCGTGCTTCTAACTGGGCATGAGGAGCAGTCCGATGGGCCCTGAGCTGAGCAAAGAGCTTGGGAGGCTTTTCAGAGGAAATGGGATGATGGAGAGAAGGGGAGGGCCAGGGAAGCGCTGAGGTGACCCCAGGACATCTGGAGGGCTGCTGATGACATCATGGACTGCCCTCCCTTCCAGCCCCGCAATGCGGGAGTGCATGGCATCTAGCTCCTGAAACTACAATAGTTACTGTGGAAACCCACTTCCCAAGGTCAACCATTTGGGCCATTCCAGCACCCGGACCTTCGTCCGTCCGTGGGGAGCAGGGGCGAGGGAAGTTACTACAGCGAAGTATGCTTAGGCTGTCCCCTACATGAGGCTTATTGTAAGCCCGTAAGTGCCAGAGCTGGAGGAGGTTGGAAAGCTATCTTGCTTAGCTCCTAACACACCCTCCACTGTCCCCTTGCAGTATTCCTAACAGTAGTTAGTACACCTCAGTTAAAACATTCAAATCCAGTGAGACACTGATCCTTATGTAGAAAAATAGGGAAAATCAACCCAAGTGTTTTTTTAGCCTCTTCGGGGCATCTGCAAAGAAGCCTCTGCTAACATGTCTTAACGTGCAGACACCACCTGGCTCTGCCCCAGGGTGGGCATGAATGTGCCCGCAGCAGCCTATGCACCCGGCTCAGCACCCACCACCCCTCAGTGCCCCCCCCCCCAACACAGTGAGCTCAGAGCAGCTTTCTCCCAAGAGTTTCAAGCAAACACTCACTAACCTCCGAAATAGGGACCACGCCCCATGTCATAGCCCTTACTCCTTGGGAAGGGAAATCTTAAATAAGAATAATAACATCAATTACAGGCACATTACATTAAATAAAAGCACAGAGCTCTTGAGAAAGAAATTAGTCTTTCCAGGGCTTAAAAGCAAGAGACAATCCCAACCAGCCAACCCTGCAATAGCATTGTGTTATAGCACCAAAACACAGACCTGCAGCCCCTGATGACCATCCATTCTCACAAGTGTCCCCTGACCTGGGACCCATCCCTCCCAGGAGATGGGAGTCAGGTAACCATGGCGTGGTTTGCAGCCTGAATGGAAATGAGCAGCCCTGAGCACAGAAATGGAATCATGCACAGACTCTGCCTCCCCACCTACCTTCGACTCCCTGGGAACGTGCCCCTGCAGCGATGGCCACACTGTCCTGGAGCACACCCTCTTGGCAGCCAGGCCCTCCCAGCTAAGTAGGAGCTGGAGAGGGTGGGGCATTTTGCTTCTCTCCAAATATGGCAGCCTCCCCTCCCTGCAGGACCAATCGGGGAGTCCCGGGAGCTCCTTTGTCTTGAGAAGGATGGAGCTTCTCATCACTTTCTACAGGAAGATCTTGATGAAGTTCAGCAAAACTTGAGAGTTGCCTGTATTTATGTGTTTCTTTAAACAATTGCCAGTTTATTATAAAGGATACAGATTGACAGCCAGGTGAAGAGGGCAAGGGCTGGAAACATTGCTCCAAAGAGTTTGGGGCGCACCACCCTTCCTGAAGATGAATGAGTTCACCAACCTGGAAGTTCTATGAACCCCACAGTGCCAGGAAACCGGGGACAAAAATCCAAGTATTATAACAAAAGCTGCTCCTTCCTATCACCCCTGCCACTCAGGAAGTTACAAGGTTGTAGAAGCTTTTGAGCCAGGAACTGAGGACAGAGATCAAACATATAGTTCTCATTGCATGAGAATGTCACAGCTGGACAGATGGATGGATGCGTCTGTCCAGCTGAGACTATTTTTAAGACGGGTAATTTTAGAGGTGCCCTCTAGAATGGAAATGAAAAATGTTCAAAGGAAACTGCTTTTCCATCAATATCTACAACAGAGGGTGGTTACACAGGCCTTGCTGGATATGCATACCGTCCTGCACCTTTAGACCAGCCAGAGCAAAGGGATACCCTTTGTGGGAAGAGAGTGAGTGTTCAGCTAGAGCCCACAGGGTGAGGGGCCGGGCTTGCATTGGGGAGCGGGTAAAACAGGACTAATGGTGGATAGAAGGCCAAATCAGAGGACTTGTTTGCATGTTGGGCTGCTGGGGTCATGTGGGAAAGCTTGAGCCACTGAATTAGTCCAAACATCAACGAGTTGAAGACCTGTGACAACCCAGGGAACAGGGAGAGAGAGGTGGCGATGAAACAAACACAGTTTAAAGATGGTGGGGGCTGAGAGCGGGTTTCCTCAGAGTGTCTCTGTCTCTGTATAATGCCCAGTGTAGCTGGGAGGGGAGCTAGGGAATCAATCGCTCCTTGCATAAGGGACTGTGCATAGATAGCTATTACCACCTCTTATACAAAGGGTCTTGTGGAGGTGTCCCTGTTATGGTCATGATTGCAACTTGAAATAAAAAGTAAATTGTGGATGTGTGCATGGAGGGAGATTTGCCTGTAAATAAAAGATGGTCGTCAGCCTGAATATGACTCCATCTACATACTCTAGATTCACTTCAAAACCCTTTTGTGAACCAAATTAAGCGATTAATTCTAAATTGACCAGCAGATGGCGCTAGAAGAGTTTACAAAGACTCACCCTGGAGGTAGGTAAGCCCCCAGATAACGCTGTCCTTGCAGAGCTTCTGTGCTCCAGTTGGATTTGGGGCCTCCAGTTGGACCTTCGTGTCTCCTCTGCCTTTTCTTTTCAAATTTTATCTCATTTTCTTCTTCAAGAAAACACACCACTTTACCATTTTTATCTAGAGTCAGATATTTGGTCTTGAGAACACAAACACAGTAGTGCAAACCGAATAATCTATTTGCAAAATGCAGAAGACAAAGAAAAAAGATCTCAACATTTCACTATCCAGAGACAAGTGTCAGTACAATTTTGTTCATTGTGTAGATGTTTAGGGTTATAATTAGGGTTTGGGATGTTCAGAGCTGGAAAGAACTCAGAATGCTCGAGCCCAGCTTTCACGCTGTGTGAGGTCATGGGACCCAGATAGGCCCAAGGCCACCCAGCGAGGCAGGCTGTCCCTGCAGGCCCATTGCCCTGCTCTAAACTGTGTGTACTGTTCCCCCTGTCTGTCCCCATCTGTACCATCACCTCCCGGCTGCCTCCATCCCTTTCTTTCCATCCCTTTCCGAGCAGGACTTTGCCCCGAGCACAGTGGGAGGTTGGTTTAGAGCTGATGAGGCTGCAGATTCTTCTTGTGGGGGAACAAAGAGCTGTTTTCGGAGGCACAGAGGAGTGAGGAAGACAGAAAATGTTCAGAAGAAGGGAGGAACTCTGGAAGCTGCAAACGAGGCAAGAAAACTATTAAGCAGACGCAGGGAGTACAGACCTGCTCCAATCCGCCCTGCAAAGAAGAACAAACAGCCAAGGAATTGGTGTGAGAACATTAATCTCTTTAAATGAGCTGAGCAGCCAGGGGGCCACTGAATTGTGTCTTCTGGCACCAACAATTATATTAGGAATATATAATTTATTTATCTTTGTTAATACTCACCCGAGGATATAGTTACCATTGAGATTGAGAGAGAGTGGATGAAGTAAGGGGAAGAGACAGAGAGAGAAGCATCGATGTGAGAGCAAGACATTGATTGGTTGCCTCCCACATGCATCCTGACTGGGCCTGGGGATTGAGCCTGCAACTGAGGTACGTGGCCTTGATTGGAATCGAACCCATGGCCATTCAGTCTGTGGAT